GGTGAGCAAGCTAGTGAAACGTTGCATGTGCAAAAGAGAAGGTCCGCACACATCCAAAAACGTATTTTAAATGCTAAATTTAAATTTAAATGTTTTAGTTTTGAAGTGTTGTTGTATGCATTTGTCATTTTTATTTAATTTCTTTTATTTTCTTAAATGTGTGTATATATATATAGTATTTATAGAGTTTTAGCTTTTAGTTTTAATTACTTTTTCTTATTTGTAAGTCGCTTTGGATAAAAGCGTCTGCTAAATGACTAAAAGTAAAAGTAAAGTAAAAGAATGTTTTTGCTCAGGTGGCCGAAATCTCTGTCCAATAGAGAAACGTTCTGCTCAGCAAGAAAAAAAATGAGAGGGAACATTGCCTGTAAGATTTGCACAGGGTTTACCTGGTAGAAAACTCGCTGAAATCAGCCATCAGGTCACAGATGCGGAGGCCGGTGCGAGACGCTTTACAGGCGTACGTGGGGCCGATGCCTTTCTTAGTTGTTCCTATGCTGTGAACCAACATAAACATGGTTATAAAACTACCAAAAAATAATGCATTCTGACTTTTTTCTATAAATTTTGAATTTATTTCTCGCAATTCTGACTTTTTTCTATAAATTTTTAATTTATTTCTCGCAATTCTGACTTTTTTCTATAAATTTTTAATTTATTTCTCGCAATTCTGACCTTTTTCTATACATTTTTAATTTATTTCTCGCAATTCTGACCTTTTTCTATAAATTTTGAATTTATTTCTTGCAATTCTGACCTTTTTCTATAAATTTTTTATTTATTTCTTGCAATTCTGACCTTTTTCTATAAACTTTGAATTTATTTCTCGCAATTCTGACCTTTTTCTATAAATTTCAAATTTATTTCTTGCAATTCTCACTTTTTCTCAGAATCAGAATTTTTTTCTCAGTATTGTGAATGTATATCTCCCAATTGCTTAATATAAACCCATAACTGCAAGTTCACTTGTACTTTTTTTCTCACAATTCTGACCTTTTTTCTTATAATTGCAAGTTTATGTCCCGCAATTCAGACGTTTTTAGTCAAAATTGTGGGTTTCTATCTTGCAATTCTGAGAATTTATTTATTTTTAAAATTTTTGGAAACAATCTTCCATATACAGTCAATACGCCAATACTGTCCTCCAAAGTTACTGTAATGCACTGTACTGCAAGACTCTGCTTCTCACCGATGAATGATGTGCATTTGGTGTTGATGATCCCACTGGGGAGAAGATGGAAGTCATACTCTTTCTCATCCACCACCACCGTGTGACCAGCGTTATTTCCTCCCTGTGACAGAAAAACCACATGAACCTCATGCAATGCACTGTGAAGCTGCAGGACGGTTTGCAGTCAAAGGTTCACGCTCCAGATTTACTCTCATGTTTTCTCCAGAAGGGAGACCTGGAAATATGCCTCTGTAAGCATCCAGACGGCCGGCTTGCCCTTTACTCAGACACACGGTCACACCAGCCTCCAGCCCGATCCACCAACCAGCGAGGCTTATTTTCAACAGATGGGCTTGTATCTCCAGCGCGTGGCCTTCTCACATGTCCAGTAACGCTGGGAATGTGACCCGAGCTCAGGAATTCTGCGACTGACATTCACTCAGATTCAGACTCGCACAGCAACACGGCTGAACATGCACGAATTGTTACGAATACTTTATACTATATGCATATAATAGTAATTTTAACAACATTGCATGTGACTAATAATGATGACTCAGAGATAAACAGAGCCGTAAACATTCAACTGACACTCCATCCCATATTCAGGTCCGTTTTAAAGACTGATAAAGAGTGATGAATTCTTAAATTAGACATTCGCTCCAACAATTCGGAATATGTAGAGAAATAAGAACAGAGCAATATCATGTTTTATTGCACAGCAAACTATTAATATTAAAATTAGTTGAATATATATATTATAATAGATTAACACATTTACGTAGAATTTAAACCGCAGAAAATAAATAAATAATCAAATAAAGTAAAAAAAATTATGAAATATTATATATAGCGAGAGAGAGAGGATTTTTTCCTTTTCTAGATGCTCCAAATCTGTTATTTCATAAATGAAACTAATTTTTATAATAGTAGTTTGCTGTCCAATAAACACAATATTTATCAGTTCTTATTTTTATATTTCTATACATGTTCAGTGCAGTTGCATTTTCATAAACAAGAGACATGACGATATTTTTTCCATAATAACAAGTTAAAATCTTTAAGTTAACGAGACCCATAAACAATGCAGAGAAGACAGCATGACACTTACATAGTTTGCTATAATTATACATACGCATAAATAATACATGGTAATATGATATTAAATAAATCGTTTATAAATTATTAATTAGTATTGTTAGCAGTTAGTACTAGTAGTAGTGTATTAAATTTAGTTTTATTTGTAAACAATGATTTAGAATATTATTAAAATCCATTAATAATATTAATAAGATGTAATAACCGTTATTAAAATAAATGTTAAATATTTATACATTTAGTACAACTAATTATTTAAATTATATAAGATTACAGTAACATTCGTCATATATTTCACACGGAAAGTTACCAGTCAAGTTTATTATTATTGATATATGAAGGTATATGTTTATCTTTTGACCGTTATATTACCTGACACCTGCACACGACGGCAGACTCCGTCGCCAATAAATCAACAACTTTTCCTTTGCCTTCATCTCCCCATTGCGCTCCCAGAACCACCGACACTTTGTTCCCTGAGTCGTTTCTCGCCCGTTTCACGGCGGCGGACTTGTGGTCGTTCGCTGACCAGCCCAAAGACATGTTGAAGTGACCGGAGAGGAATGAATCTGACAGCCGTTAACGACGAGCGCGGGAGGAACGGACAGAGGTGTGTCGTTCGCGAACGAGTCGGCTCTATGAGTCGGTTCCTTTAAGTGAATTATACGAGTCGGCTCCCTTCTGAGAGCCGTTTGGGGACCGAAAGAGTCGGTTCTTTTTGCTGAGCCGAGCCAATTGATCCGAATCACTAAAGGGCTTCGGCGCGGCGCGAAACTTTTTAGAATAAGGATAAATAACACTTCTTCTATTTTAACTAGTTACTGCTCGGAAATTACTTTACAATAATTTCAACAGTTTTTAAAGTTGATCTGCTCCGGTGTAAATTATCTAAAGAGCGCGTATCATCACGTGACACCTGTTACTTTTCTCAACGCTGGATAGAATAGACCAATCGCAGTCGATGATGCTTACTGGATGAGACTTTTAAAAACACGTTTCATGTTTCATTGCTGAGGTAGATTTTTGTTTTAATGTCACTAACCAATTCATGGAGTTCGTTGATTTAAAAGATTACACTTGTAAGAGTACAAATGTTTCCATTACTACAAAAAACCGCATTGATATTTGAATGCGACTCAAAGAGGATTCAGGTTTCTTTTTTTCAGTAATCATTTCAGTTCATGGACCCTGGAATGGAAGCGATGAAGACATATTACGCTGTTTACAAGTGCAGAAAGTAAAGGAAAAGGAGGAAAGCAGCGAGTTTGATCGTAATCAGTGTGTTTTGGTAGAAAGCAGCCTTGTTTTGGTGCGCTTCATCACAACACGTCTAACAACGATCACGTGTTCGGCGAGTGGGCGGGGCTTCATTGTTTCCGCTACAAATGCGATATAAACAAATGCGGTATTTGACAGGAATCCTGTCGCTAAACGTTTTGCATCCAATTTCTACCGGTATTTAAATAGTGTAAACAGACGCAGAAGAGTCGCGAGAGCGCCATCTTCAGTGTGTCAATCATTTTGTCCGTTCTGAATTGCGAATTTGGGATTGGCTGGCACGCATCTGGGGGCGGGGTTTAGAAGCGAAGGCGTGTGATTGGAGACGAAACGCCAGAAATTACAGCATCTTTAACTTTTTGTTCATTTAAATTCTAATGCATTAAGTAGAGAGGACTGGTTAGAGATCGATTACGCGGCTTTGAGCGGACGTCCTGCTCGGTTCTGTTAGTTCTCTATGGAGAGGTGTTTGGCCTACCTCACTGCAACACACAGCCCTTTACAGAGCGTCCTTTCCCTCAGTTACCCTCCACTTCAGAGGGACACAGAAAAAGAGACACTGACATTCATTTCAAGCCTCTGTACGGCATGAGCTCAGAGCGAGAGCTGATGCACTAACTCCAGGTAACTAACATCTGACAGCAGAGAGACTACAGAGCACACACACACATTAACGGTGTCACAAAACACGCATGTTTCTGGAAAAGTCACTGGAAAATGACAACAAATGAAAATTCAGTAACTTGAGATGTCAAGAAAATGTCCAGGTCATATTGCACCCAAAAATCAAAAGCCTATTTTTTTTTTTAGAACAATTCATTTTTCCATGGTTAGATTACAGTAAGACGAATTTGAATGGGATTTAAAAAAAGGAAAAATAAATATGGGTTGGTTGAAAGAAATGTATAATAATACAAATATTTTATTTTATTTAATATGTATAATAATAATAACAACAATAATATATATTGATGTATAATAGATAAATTAAATATTTGTGACATTGTGACAGTTTAGAGAATTTGGGTGGATGGGGGTTTATATAATAATTCAAATAAATAAATAAATAAATACATTTGTATTAGTTGAAAAAAATAATGCTACTACATTACAGTAAAGAGAATTTAGGTAAGGGGAAAAACTGTTATAGAAAATTTTATATATGATATATATATTTTTTTTTTTAAATTTCGTCCAAAAATTGACTCCTGTTTTCTTTTGATCTTGGAATGAACTGTGACTTGGACGTGATTAATAATGAGACTCAAACAATCAGCCAAATATCTGGGGCCGCGAATTGCAGGAAACCGCATTTGAGAATTTTCCAGAAATATCACAGCAGCTTGACTCTAGCAAACTGATGTTAAAACATTAAAATATTATGAAATAATATTTTAATAAATCAACATCGGCTTTATAAAGAAAACATTTACTGTCTTTGCAAACCAAAAATGTTTTGAAGACACACTTTCGATGCTGAAAAATGACCTTTATTAGATATATAAATAGATTACCTTCATTACTGCCTTTTTTGTTTCTTGGGAAGAAATGTTTTTTGTTTTCAGGTTTGACGGAGGCGGGGCCTACAGCAGGAGTGGGCGGGGCTTGTGACATCACTCCGCCCACATCATCACACGCCTGCTGTATTGCAGACGAATCGTTAGCGTCGTCATCCGTGCGATGAAGCGGCTCGTCTTAATATATATTATATATGCCAATGATTATTATTATTATTATTTTTATTTAGTATTTTTTATATTGTCATATAAATGTGTGTATATACTGTATAATATAAAATATAACGGTTATATTTAATAATAATAATAATAATAATAATAAGTAACAACAAAAAACAACAACATTACATTTATAAACAATAATAATAATAATAATAATAAACTATATCTCATTATTATTAAACAAAATATTAAACAATGATAAAAATGTTTTAAATAAACCATAAACTAAAAAAAGTATTTATTATAAAATAAGAATCATTTATTGTACAGTTTATTGCAATTTATTTATTGTACTGAAAAATTAAAATACAAATATTTATGGCTTAATTTTCCAAATTTCTTCATTTTCAAACCATCAAATGTTTATTTTGATTGAAACCGGCAGGGTTTTAAAGCACTACGCCATATTGTGATTAATCATGCAGCCCTATATAAAGCTGAATAAAATAGTGGATAACCTAAAAGTAATTGTTACCATTTATAGGATATAAACAACTTTTCCTTAAACATTCTGAAAAATTGATATTGTAAAAAAAAATAAAAAAATAATAATAATGTCAACTACCCATTTGCGGTTTACAGCTTGTATTAACAGTTCACATTGACATGCAGGTTTGTGAAATGTGACTGGTGTGAACAACCAATCAGAAGCAGGGATGAGGGCAAGCGGCAAAGCTGATTGGTGGAGCAGCAGGGCATGAGGAATCAGGTTTAAAGGGGTCAGAAACTCAGAACAGTTTCAATAAAAGCTCTTTCTGGACTGCAGGGAAAGTTACAGTCTGTTTTTATGGAATAATAAACTGAGCAGCTGCTCGCAGTCGGACCCCTTCAGTGCACTCACTACAGACAGCAGCGCGCGAGAAAGCAGAGAAATAAACACGAACGCTTCAGACTTGTGCACCGGAGCCGCTTCAGAGCCACACCGGCTGATGTTCTTACCGGACGCTCCTGTATCTCTATGCATGTCACTAGAAGGGGCACTTCCCGATTCGCACCTGGGACGAGTCTTTCTCAGACGGAAACCCTTGCGAATGTCGGCCAGGAGCTGATCGATGATGCAGCCGTCGTCCTGCGGAGCTGCGCCTCGACGGACTGAAAACAGACTTCTGTTAGAGATGCCAATGAAAACTGGAAATACTGGAAGTGAATATATAACATTTGGTCCCATTAACGGTTCATTAACAATTAACTAAAAACAGCTTTACTATTAATTAATATTAAAATATTGTAATACCATATATTAAAAACTATTTTTAATTCATATTAAAATATTTAAAATATTGTCGTATCAAATTACATATATATATATATTTTAAAAAGTCTAAACTAAAAATGACTATTACTTAAGTTTTTAAAATTAAAGTGTTTAATTAAAACACTTTTTAAAAATAATATTAAAAATATTAATTATAATAAAAAAATTATATATATATATACACACACA